GGTTAATCGAAGCGACGACGACGAAAATATATACATATATACCACACGTATGTATATATATGTATATACTTTGGATTCTAAACTGCACCATTTGGAATGATCATTTCCAGGCAGGTGCTCCTGGAATTTTGCCAACTCTGATAATACGAAACCGCAATATAGGGCGCCAAAATAGTTTGTGTTCACCAAGCGCATGAAACCAATAATCCAAAATTTGTGCACTAAGCTAAGCTGCTAGAATGGTCTATAGACGACGTTGATTTTTTTTACAGCTTCTATAATAATCAGCAGTCTTTAGTACTGTCTGTAACCAATTGCATCATATTACTCATTGGCGGCCTTAACTGCTTCATTTTGTTGCTCCCATGTTTCTCATAATGCATCTGTCTCAGCAACGTTAGCACTTTGTCTTCCATTATTGCCCTTTTTGAAACCAGTCAAACGACTTCATGTTTCCTCTCCAGAAGCAGTAGCCTAATGATACTCACATACATTTCTGCTGGCCCGTAAATAGTAAGAACGGAAATAGCACCATTTATTGATACCACTTTTAATACCGTACATTGTTTGAAGTTAGATATTGTGAAAAGTCAAATAAGTAAACAAGTGATAAGTGAAATAAAGTGGCTTATCTATGTAACATTAAAGAAACAGAAGTCAAAACTGCAGATTTGTATAATTTTTTGTTTGTATTTCTTTATTTGTACACAAAATTTGTTTCATCAGTTTTTTAGTTGTTATTCGTTACTTTCGTTTTCATGTATGTTTTATGTAACCATTAGTCGTTTTTGTATGATTCATGCAAAAACTGTTTTAGCTAAAATGTTTTGTTCTGTTTTTTCCTTATTTCCTTTTTCTAATTTACAATTGTACATATATGGCAAATGAAGTTTTGAAAAGAAAAAGTTCATTCAGCGGTCTTATTCATGTTGCCGGTATTTGACAGAACATTGGTGAGTTTTGATTTGATGTATTCTGTTCACTCTTTCTTTTTTTTTTTTCTTTTGTTCATTTAAGAAGCAGCTTTCGCCAAAATACGATCATCAATAAAATTTTTCTAGAATTTTTTTGATTTTGTGTTGAGATCTCCAAACATCACTTTAATTTTTATTCTGTCACTGAAAAGTCATGCATTATATGTGCTTTGCGGGAAATACGTATGCCCTGTTTGAATTCTTTTTTCACTTTTTCCTCTTTTCTTCTTTTTTTTCTTTCAAACACGAAAAAAAGAAAAAGAATAGCCATCAAATGGATTTAGATTATCAATTGCCTATGATGGTGACTTCCGTCGAAAAATTTACAAGAAGAAAAAAAAAGTGATGAGGGAAAGTTTTTCTTGTGCATATGTCTTATTTCAAATTTACACTCAGACCTGATATGAACTTTTGACCCTAGTGGTGTAGAACAGAAATTTTTTGATGGTATTCGTTGAATGGCACTTAATCAAGGCTATGTAGTTGGGGATATTAAAGTAATAAAT